TACTGCAATAAACATACAAGTGCAGATGTCATTTCTACTGTCATTTTTGAATCTCCAGGATATATTCCTAGAAGTGGGTCAAATGGGAGCTCAATTTCAAATTTTTTTGAGAAACGTCCATATTGTTTTCCCAAAGTGCTCACCCAGTTGGCATTTCCACCAGCAGTGAAGGAGAGGCCCCTTTTCCCTACATCCACGCCAACACCGGTTGCTTTTGTTCTTCTGGATTTGTGCCAGTCTCATTGTTGTTTTGATCTGCATCTCTCTGATGATTAGTGATGAAGAGCATTTTTAAATGTGCCTTTTGGCCATTCAGATTTTCTCCTTTGAGAAAATTTCTGTTCATTTCATCGCCCCATTTTCTGACGGGATTGGATGTTTTCTTCTTGTAGAGTTCAACCAGTGCCTTGTATATCCTTAGTATCAACCCCTTATCAGATGGGTATTGGGTGAATATCCTTTCCCATAATGTAGACTGTCTTTGTATTCTGGTCACTGTTTCTTTGGAGGTGCAGAAACTTCTTAGTTTAAGATAGTCCGATTTGCTTATCTCTGTTTCCACCTGCTTGTCAGTGGCATTTCATCTCTGAAAACACCTTTAGCTTAATGTGGTGGAGGGTTTCGCTGACCTTTTCTTCAATGTACCTTATGGATTCTAATCTCATATTGAGGTCTTTAATCTGTTTTGATCTGACTTTTGTGCATGGTGTTAGGTGGAGGTCTGGGCTCATTCTTTAGCATGTCCAGTTTTGCCAGCACGATTTTACCATTTATTAAAGAGGCTTTCTTTGCTCCACTTTATATTTCTTGCTCAGTTATCAAAGATTAGATGATCATATATTTGAGGGTGCGTGTAAGGATATTTAACCCTGTTTCATTGATCTGTGGATATGCCTTTGTTCCAATTCCATGCTGTTTTAATTATTACTGCTTTGTAGTAGAGTTTGAGGTTGGGGAATGTGATGCCTCCCATCTTCCTTTTCCCAAGAACTGCTTTAGCTATTCGTGGGGGTTTGTTGTTCTATATGAATTTCAGGAGTGTTTGATAAATTTCTTTGAAGAATTTCATAATACCCTATTAAGGGTATCTTTAAAGGGATCACATTGAATATGTATAAAGCTTTGGGGAGTATTTTCATTTTGGCAATGTTAATTCTCCCAGTCCATGAGCAGGGGATGTGTTTCCATTTCCTTGTGTCCTCTTTTATTTCTTGAAATAGCGTTTTGTAGTTTTCTTTGTACAGGTCCTTTACCTCCTTAGTTAAGCTGATTCCGAGGTATTTGATTTTCTGAGGCATGATTGTGAATGGGATTGATTTTCCCCTGTCACTTTCTTCTCTCTCATTATTTGCATATAGGAAGGCCATGGACTTTTGTGTATTGATTTTATAGCCTGCGACTATACTATACAAGTCTATTGTTTCTAGGAGCTTCTCGATAGAGGCTGTAGGGTTTGCTAAATATAGTATATCATCTGCGAGAAATCATAATTTCTCGATTGTCTGATCCATTGTTTTTTTTTTGCCCTCCTTTAATTTACTGGATATCTGCCCCACCGTTTCTTTGAGTTCATTGAACATCTTCAATAGTTCATCTCTGAATTGTCTATCGGAGAGCTCATCTTTGTGAGTAATGCCTACTGAAGCTTCTGGACTCTTTACATCGACCTCTCCTCGTGGTGGGGACTTGTGCTGTTTCTTCATGTTGTTGTGGTGCTATGGAGACTGAGATGTGACACCAGATTGTTGGGAATAGGTAAAATAACTTCGCTGCTTGAATGGCCGCTGCCCCAAAGTAGGCCAGGCTAACTTCTGCAGAGGCAACGCCGCCCTGTGGCAGAGGCCACGCCCTCCGCAGCACTGTAGCTGGGGTGCTGGGATCGGGAAGGCTCACACTAACACAAACCTGGGTGAGGAACCAAACGGCTGTTTTTATTTTTTTGATTTTTTATTAGTGAAACCCCATGAGGTACAGCTGTAGACTTACAAATTTTTGTGCTTGGGTTTCAGTTATACAATGATCGAGTACCCATCCCTCCACCAGTGCCCGTTCTCCACCACCAGTGATCCCAGTAGCCCTCCCACCCCCCATCCCCCTCATCCCACCCTGCCTCTGTGTCAGGACATTTTGTTTTGTTCTCTCTCTCCTTTTGGGTGCTGTGGTTTGCTAAAGAGACATTGAGTGGCAATCATGTTCGGTCTAGAGTCTACTTTCAGCATGCTTCTCCCATCCTGGGAGGATCCTCCTAACACCCTTTATTTGGTGCTCCCTTCTCTATCTGAGCTGCCTTTTCCTCTAGTGCGTGCGGCTGGCCTCCAAGCCATGGAGTAAACTTCCTGGTACTTATCTCAGCTATTCTTGGGTGTTAGTCTCCTATTTTGTTACTTTATGTTCCCCAGATGAATGCAATCCTTCTATGTCTGTCCCTCTCTTTCTGACACATTTCACTTAGCATGATACTTTCCATGTAGTACCACTTGTATGTAAATTTCATGACTTCATTTTTTCTAACAGCTTCATTCGCGGCCACGCGACATCTTATTATGACATCTTATTATCTCATTCCTACTTTGGACAAACTGGCATGTAGCCTGTCCACATGGTAGAGTCCGGCAAACTCCCCGTGGCGTACCATATATGCCAAATATCAGTAACAATGATGGGTCTCATTCTTCTAAAGAGCCTTGAATGTAATCTCAGGGCTAGGATGAAGGAGACGTTACTGGGGCCTGCTCGAGGCAATCGACGAATAACAGGATGATTTGTGATTGTGATTGTGTGACCACTTGTATGTAAATTTCATGACTTTATCTTTTCTAACAGCTTCATAGTACTCCATTGTGTAGATGTACCAAAGTTTCTTCAACCAGTCATCTGTTCTCGAGCACACGGTTTTTTTCCAGATTATGACTATTGTAAACAGTGCTGCAATGAAAAAACAAGTGCAGACGTCACTTTGTCTATGCTTTTTTGCCTCTCTGGGATATATTACCAGGAGTGTTATTCCAGCACCCTTTTCCTTATAGGCATTTGAATACCTGGAAATACTTCCTTTCAATCTGAAGAACTTTCTTTATCATTTTACAGAGTTGTTTTGCTGGCAGCATATTACTTTGTATGTTTGGGAATATCTTTAGTGTTCCTTATTTTATTTTATTAGATATTTCTAATTTTTTGAGGGGTAGGACAGGGAGGAGGTTTGGGGTTACTCTTGGCTCTGTGCTCAGGACTCTACCTTTGCAGTACTCAGGGAGGCATATGTGGTGCAGGTAACGTCTGTCCTTTTGTCTCCTCTCCCCAGCTGGGCCTCTATGCTTCTGAACTGGCCTGTTTCTGGGGTGGCCAAACGGCTGCAGTCGGGTATTTTTCATCTTCTTGATTACCAGGCAGGAGCCCTCCTTGCTGTCCTATGGCTTCGGCCCTTGAGTGTGGCTGTGTGATAGAGTCATGCACACAGATTCAGGGACCACGAGCCTGTGGGCTTTCTTGGGCAAAGCCGGTGCCCGACTGTGGAGCCCAGGTCCACGTGGAGCAAGGCATGTGGCTGAGGGCGCTGAGAGGTGTCAGGCATTGTGACTGAGAGCAGGCTGGGGTTGTCAGGCATGTGGCTGCGGGCGCTAGGGCAGTCTGAGGTGTCAGGCGTGTGGCTGAGGGTGCTGAGAGTGGGCTAAAAGGTGTCAGGCATGCAGCTGAGGGCACTGAGGGCGGGCTGGGAGGGCAGTGAAGAGGGATCTAGGATAAGAGACCAGGGTAGGGCATGGGACACGACTGCAGACCTTCATGCAGAGGGGGTACACACGTGCACACATACTCACTATCACAGACAGGCACATCGCACACAACATATATCACATATATCAGATACAGACACACACTATATACACATCACAGACACACTTCACACCATAGACATAACACACATTCATCAGACATACAGACATGCACTGACACACATCAGACACACAGGCACAGAACCCATACACACATCCACACATCACAGACACACCACACACACACATCATACACACACATCAGAAATAGACACACACTGTCCACACACTAATACACATACACACATATACAGCCCTTATACACATACACACACCACATACAACATGCACACGTATATACACAAACACACACAGAGATATAGACAGATACACACCACAGGCATCATACTCTTATACAAACCATATGTATCATATTGTCACACACCCATACACACAATGACACACATACCATATACACGCTATTCACGCCATATACATATAATATGTATGTATACAAACACCACTGACACCCCACACCCTCAAACATACACCATAGTACCCCATACACAGATACACACCATATACCCATGCACAGACACACACCATAGTACACACACACAGACACTCACCATAGTACCCATACACAGACACACACCATACAGACACACATCATACACAGACACAAACCGTAGTACCCACACACAGATACACATCATAATACCCACACACAGACACACACTGTAGTGCCCCATACACAGACACACACCATAGTACCCCAACACAGACACTCACCATAGTACCTATACCCAGACACTCACTGTAGTATCCATGCAATAATCAAATGCAGCTCCAGTACCTGAGTCTGCCCAGCACAGGGCTGCCCTCAGGATATGGCCCTGCACGCAGCTCTCCTCACCGCAGAGACCTCCCCCTGTGGGGTCTGTGGTCTCCTCTACTCCTGCCTATGGGGTCTCCCTCCCCTGCCTGTGGGGTCTCCCTCCCCCGACTGTGGGGTCCCTCCTCACCCTGGCTAGTGTTGTCCTGCCTGTGTACGCCCACAACCACCATCTCCTCCCTTTCCACGGGACCCCACCCATCTCCCTTGTCCCTTTCTTTCCTGTCTGATCAGGTCCTGGCTCTGGCGGGCACCCAGGGAGGCAGCAGTTGAGTGAGGTGATGCGGGCCTGTGGGTGTCCTCAGCAGGGTCCCCTCACGACTCTCCCCCTGCAGGAGGCGGCGCCCCCGCGGGTGGCTGCAACGAGACGCGAATGCTGGAGCTGCTGCCGCGGTGCCGGGCCGCCTTCTCCGCCAGCATGCACTCGGTGGCCGTGGGGAAGTGGTGTGACCTGGCCGAATTCATCGTGTGAGTGTGGCGTGGCCCCAGGCTGCCCTGCTGCCCCCGAGCGGTCACTGCTCTGAGAAGCCCCCCTACTGCTTCCCTGTCGTTGGTGGGGGGCGCCTGTCCCGGCATGCTGGGTGGAGCTGGGTTTGGGGGGGGTCTGTGGTCGGAGGTTTGGGTGCTGGTGCAGAGCCCATGCAGGGCCCCACTTCCTGGTTACCCCCAAGAAGGAAAGTAACTTCTACTTTCTGCTCACTCTCATTTGTTTGTTTGTTTTTTTTGGGGGGTCACACCCAGCGGTGCTCAGGTCTGCACTCAGGGATCTCTCCTGGAGGTGCTCAGAGACCATAGAAAACACCAGGGATTGAGCCCAGGTCAGCCATGGGCTAGGCCAGCGCCCTCCCTGCTGTCCAGCGCCCCAGCCCCTGCCCCAGTAACTTCATCTGTGATCACATCCAATGTCCAGACTGAGCCACTCCTGTCCTTGGGGATCAAATGTCGGGGTGCTGCACCCCAGCCCCGATGGCTGCAGGGCCGCCACGGCCCTGGGGGGCTCGGAGCCTTGAATGGCCTTTCCCAGGGTTCTCCTGGTCACTTCTCAGGGGCGGGTGGTCCCTTGTGGAGGCAGCTTGTCTGGGGACCATTGGCTGAGAAAAACTGGGGAATCCCTGGGCTACTGGCACTGGGTGGTGGGTGCTGGGTGGTGGGTGCTGGAGGTGGGGCAGGCCAGGGCCTTTTGCTTTTTTTGTTTGGGGCCACACCCAGCGGTGCTCAGAGATCACTGGGAGGGATCTCAGAGATCTTTGGGCGGGAGGTCAGGAGAGGGATGGGGTGGGCAGCTGCATCCCCCTTCCCTCTTAGGGGAGCGAGGAACCGAGGAGCAGCCGAGGCTCTGGCAGAAAGGGCTAGAGAGCAGGTGGGGGGCAGAGGGAGGGTGGAGGGAGAAGTCGGGGGACACTTCCTGGGGGTGCACGAGGGTCACCGCGGAGGCTTAAACTGCGAGGTTGGGGGCAGGGATGCTGGGTGCGGTGGCAGGGGGCAGGAAAGCGGGTCTCCCCCTAGAACCTGCCCCGGCCGGCGCGTGTCCCCCGCAACCTGAGCTCCCAGCCAGGCCAGCTGCGGCTGGGCACCTTGGCGCGGGCGCAGGGGCGGGCGATGCAGACCTCGGAGTGGTGTGCGGGGCCACGTCTGTGCGCCCTGCGGCTGGGGTCAGGGTCACCCCTTCCCGGGGGTCGGGGGCCGGGAGGGTGTCTGGGCGGGCAGGGCTGAGCCGGCTGCCTTTGCAGGTACTACGAGAGCTTCACCAACTGCACCGAGGCGGAGTCGCTGGCCGTGGGCTGCTACTGGCCCAACCCCCTGGCGCAAAGCTTCCTCACCAGCGCGCACCGGCAGTTCTTCTCCAACTGCTCGGTGGAGAGGGAGCACTGGGAGGACCCCCCTGACGAGGTGCTGGTCCCCCTCATCGCCCTGCCCGTTCTGCTGACCCTGGCCATGGTCGCGCTGGTGGTGTGGCGCAGCAAGCAGACTGACCGGCCACTGTGAGCCCGGCTGGGCGGCCGGGCCCCGCTGGAGCTGCGAGGGACTCCGGGGTCTGGCTAGCCGTGGCAGGCGCAGGACCACCAGCAGACGGTGGCCCGCCCACTCACGCGCTTCCCGCTTTCCTGTGTCTGTGGCCAAACCGGTGAGGAGGAGCTGGTGTCTGAGTGTGACCCGGCTGCCCAGAGACCGGGTGCCCAGGGCCGGTGGTTGAGTCGGGGTGGCGGGGTGGCACCCCGGGGGGGCTCCTCCCGGGGACAGCCCTGAGCGGGCTGCGGGCTGCTGTCTGTTTGCTGATTAAAACCCTCCTCACACCTGTGGCTTCCTGCTTGTCTGTTCTTCAATCTTTTGGGGAGGGGTTTGGGCCACACCTGGTGATGCTCAGGGGTCACTCCTGGCGGTGCCTGGGGGACCATATAGGGTGCCAGGGATCCAATCCAGGGGACCTTGTGCAAGGCGAGTGCCCTACCTGCTGCATTGCATGTCGCTTTGGCTCCCGTTCAATTTTTACTGAATTATAGTAGTTTGGATCACCACGGGCAAAATCATGCAAACCTTTATAGTGGTTTTCAGATTTTTAAAAAAATTTTTTTTTTTTTAAAATTTGGGTGTGAGATATACCTGGCTGTGCTCAGGGCTAACTCCCGGCTCTGTGTTCAGGCCTCACTTCCAGAGGGGGGAATCTGGAGGACCATATGGGGTACCGGGTTCAAACCCAAGTGAAATGAGGATTTCATTCTTTCTCTTTTGGAACGGGGTTTAGGTTATACCTGGTGGTGCTCAGAGCTTGCTCCCGGCTCTGTGCCCGGGGGTCCCTCCATACAACATTCCAGGGATGGACCCCAGGTCAGCTGTAAATGCATTAGCTGCTGCCCAATTTCTCTGCCAGTTACTGTACTTTCACCACACCGAGCACCCCAGGCTCTCTGCTCCATCCTTCCCCTGCACCCTTCCCTAAAAGAATGGTTTGTGGTTGGTTTGGGGGCCACCCCAGGGCTTACCCCAGGAGAGCTCAGGTGAGCCCTACATGGAGCAGCCAGCTCCGGGCCCCCCAGGGCTCCCTGACTGATTTCTGGAATATTAGGGAGACAGGTTTGTTTCCCAGTGCCCTTCTGAAGTGTCTGGTCCCCAAGCTGCAGAAGGTCGGAGCTCAGAGAGGGGAGAGGCTGTGGGTACACCTGGGAGGCCCTGCCTGGACCCATAGGGGCCCCATGGTCAGGGTGGAGGGCAGACCTGCTTTCCTGCCTGCAGCTGGATGAGGCCTTGGGCTTTCTGGGACCACCCGGGTGGGTTCAGGGCAGGGCTGGAGGGTTCCCCAGGGCATGGCTTGGTTCTGCAGCAGGGCCATGCTTATACGTGCCATCAGCAGACCTGACTGGTCCCAGGGACAGCTGTTGGCAGAGTCTGGAGAGAACCAGTTCCAGGACCCCAGTGCCCTGCGGAGGCTGCCAGGGAGTGGATGTGGGGTCACGGGGAACCAGCTCCAGGCAGGAGCAGGAAGTGGTGAGGACAGCTGGTCTCCCTCAGCCAATGTCCCTCCTGACCATCTGCAAAAGTGACAGAGGAAGTGAACTGGAGCCACAGAGGGTGCTGTGTTCCAGTGGGTGCTGATGGGCTGGACTATCTCACCTTAGGGTGAGGCCTGGCCTGGCAGCACACTCAGGAGGGCACTGGCCTTCCCTAAGGTCGACCAGCAACCACATGGTCCCTGAGCACAGAACCAGGAGTTAGCCCTGAGCACTGCTGGGTGTAGCCTGCAACCCCAACCCCAACGAAAAGATGTCACCCTTTCTGCATATGATGCCCGGGGCTGGGTCTTGTGTGTCCTGGTCACTTCTGCCTTGAGTGTCCCCTCCACAAGGCCTGGAGAGTCCCCCAGGGGAGGAGTGCTCTGTCCCACCTCCTCCAGCCCCTTCTTCTCAGAGATCCAGTAGGTGGTCTGCTGTGTCCTCCCCAGACTCAGGGCATGGTCAAGGAGACCAGGAAGAGTATAGAGGTCAGTTCCCCAGTAGGCTGAGTAGCCAGTGGCAGAGCTGGTTGGATCTTGTGGGTGTGGCCTTGGTTGACCGGTGCTGTTCGGCTGGCAGGAATACTGGTGCTCCCAGTGTCCCCAAAGCTGTATGCTCCTCCCTGATGGCTCAGGCCAGAGGCCTGGACCAGACAGGGCTGTGCTGGTGTCCCTCCACCCATGGCTGCAGCCCCTCCAGCCTCTGTCTGTGACCCTCGGGGGGGGGGGCAGGGACAGAGCTCACTGTGAATGTTCCTCTGCTTTCTTTGACCAGAGCTTGTCTCTCTCTTTTCTTTTGGGCTGTTTTTGAATTCTTGATATTGGATTTGAGAATTAAATTCAAACAGAGAACTCCTGTGGTTGGGAACAGTGACTATGAAAGGACAGTGTCTGGTTTGAGCCTGGGGACAGTGTCTGGTCTGAGCCTGTGACAATGTCTGGTCTGAGCCTGTGACAGTGTCTGGTCTGCGCCTGTGATAGTGTCTGATCTGGCCCTGGGGACAGTGTCTGCTCTGAGTCTGTGACAGTGTTTGGTCTGAGTATATGACAGTGTCTGGTCTGAGCTGGGGACAGTGTCTGGTCTGAGCCTGGGGAAAGTGTCTGGTCTGAGCCTGTGACAGTGTCTGGTCTGAGCCTGTGACAGTGTTTGGCCTGAGTCTATGACAGTGTCTGGTCTGAGCCTGGGGACAGTGTCTGGTCTGAGCCTGTGACAGTGCTTGGTCTGAGTCTATGACAGTGTCTGTTCTGAGCTGGGGACAGTGTCTGGCCTGAGCCTGTGACAGTGTCTGGTCAGCCTGTGGGGACAGTGTCTGGTCTGAATAAATAAAGAAGTTGTATATACACATAATGGAATACTATGCAATGATAAGAAAAGATGTAATCCTTCAGCATGTGTAACCTCGATGAAACTAGAGGGTACCGGGTTGAGAGAGGCAAGTCAAAGGGAAATGTCATCGTTTATTTGTAGTAGAGAGAGTGACAAGACAGGGAATAAAAGGTATCAAGTAATGGTGAACTCTTGGCTTTGGGTTATAGGAATGAAAAATAGCAAAAAAGAAGAAGTGTGTGTAGAGGGGAGAATGAGAGGGAAACTGATGATGAAATAAAGACATTTTAGTGGTATAGAGGTGAGTTAACCACATAAATCAAATCAAAAACCCTATTGTAAAAATATGACCTAAACTGTAAGTAAATGAAAACAAAAGCCACAAACTGAGCTTCTAAGGGGTCAAGGTGGGTGAGGGAGGGAACTCTGGGTTATTTAAGTGGAGGGACATTGATATTGGTGGTGGGTTTGTAGTTGGAGCACTTAGTGCCCAAAACTTTGTTATTAAAACCATCATAAATGTGCCTAAATAAAAGAAATAATAAAAAAGTATACACAGGATCATGTCAGAGATAGCAAAGCACTCAGTGTGTGCAGGGCTGTGGGATGGGAAATCCCAGCCGGGCTCATACCTCCCTATCGAGACCAGGCATCCCAGTGGGAAATAATCCTCTTCATCAGCCACCATGGCCAGGAAAATAGAGACCAACCCCACAGCCCAGAGCAGCTGAGACTGTTCAAACTAGTCAAATCTAAGTGTTACCTTGTCGAGGTCTTGACTCTCCAGCTGTCGTCTTCTGCTCCTGACCATCCTGATATGCTCCTCTCTCCAGCAACTGATTCATGTGTGTGCATGACAAGAGACATGGCACAATGGGTAGGGCATTTGCCTTGCATGAGGTCAACCTCCTTTGATCTCCAGCACCTCAGATGGTCCCCCAGGCCCTGCCAGGAGTGATTCTTGAATACAGAGCCAGGCTTCAGGCCTGAGAACTTCTGGATATGGTTCCCATCACACCAAAAAAAGATGGAGTCTGGGACAGTGATCCAAAAATTCCATGAAGGGACTTGGCTGACTCTGTCTCCCTCCTGAAGCTTGTTGAGCTATGGCATCTTAGAGCATTCCATTCACATTCAGGAAGGAAGAAAATTGTAGAGAGAAGAAATACATTCAGAATTCCTCTTGGAATTCCTCCTTTTAACTCAGGAAATCAAACTTTCCCCAGGGCCTTGTCTCTTGGCGAGGCATGGACCATGTGACCCCCGTTAGTGGAGTTAGAGTGGGAATAAGTCCTTCATCTCCCAGCCTCAGAGAAGAAGCAAAATCAGGAGGAGGAATTCTGGGTGAGGCGGCCACATGGCTGCCACAATGAGCAGAACAAGATGGAAGCGCAGGGTGAGTCTGGTGAGATGTCTCCTGCACTCACAGCAGGAAATCTTTTGATGGGAGGGTGTAATTCAGTGGAAGGGCACTTGCTTTGCATATGTGAGACCTGGGTTCAATGTCCTGCACCAAAAATAACAACAACAGCAACAACAACAACAATGGGAGGTTCCAGAGTCTCCAGCTCACAATATGCACACATCAGAAGAATTCCCCTGAAGGACAGGAATGAAACAATGATGCTCGTGGATGGTATCAATCTAAGGGAGGGAACCCAGTTAGCACAGGACAGTCACAGCTAGTGCATACATATATAAAGAACTTCTAAAATCAAATTTAAGAGTCCAGGATATAGTTCAAAGTGGTAGAGCACATTTCTAGCATGTGTCAGACCTGAGTTTGAGCTGCCTCTGCATGGGGCCCAAGAACCACTGGATGTAGCCCTGGTGGTCCCAGAGCACCTCTGCACCCCTGGGCTCACCCTTCAGGACTGCATCAACAGGCATGAGCCCCAGAGCCTCACTGTGTGAAGGTCCCATGAACAATCAACAATCCATTATTAAATTTAGCACAGTAGCACTGTCCTCCTGTTGTTCATCGATTTGCTCAAGCAGGCACCTGTAACTTTTTGTTGACTTCTTGTTACTGTTTTATTGAATATGCATATTGAATATGCAATGGGTAGCTCTGCCATACGGGCGGGATACTCTCGGTAGCTTGCCGGGCTCTCTGAGAGGTATGGAGGAATTGAACCCAGGTCAGCCGCGTGCAAGGCAAATTCCCTAACT